TATATTTCACCTATAGGTCAGGTAAAGCTTTATTAAGCAGTAAACACTTGTGTAACAGTGCAGAAGTACAGGTTTCCAAAACAAACACATTCAGAAGATCTGCTGCTCAAATAATATTTTTTCAAAACCAGGTGGAGGAGTATGATAAAATTCACTGAACTGGCAATCCAAAATGGCACTGTCATCAACTGAAAAAAAAATTAAATTAGAAGGAAATTTAAATAAATACATATTTATGAAATAAATTATTTTCAGGCAGGGAATAAAGCTCAGTGGTAGAGTACCTACTTCGCATGCATGAGGTCCTGGGTTCTAGCACCACAAGTTTTGAAAATAATCTGTTTTCTTAATATTATAATATTAATTGGTAATAAGAGTAAAAACATCTGCCACCTGGATTACAAAATATTTAAAATTTTTTATTAAATTTGTGTGTGTGTGTGTGTGTGTGCACATGCCATGGTACTTGTATGGAGGTCAGAACACAGCTAGTTCTTTCCTTCTACCATGTGGGTCCCAGGGATCAAACTATATATACATATATCTGTATTACTTTATTAAAAATGTTTTATTGAGTGCTGGAGATGTGGCTCAGCTGGAAAAGTGCTTGCCTAGCATGCGTGAAGACCTGGGTCCAGATCCTCAGCACCACATAAAACTAGGCACGGTATCACACACTTGTAATCCCAGTACTGAGGAGGTGAGCTAGGTGGATCAGAAGAGGTTCAAGGTCATCCTCAGCTACAGAGTGAGCTCACGGTCAGCCTGGGCTAATTGAGACACTGTCTAAAAAACAAAACAAAACAAAACAAAACAAAACATTGGACCAGCAAGATGCCTCATTGGGTGAAGGTACTTGCTGCCATGGCTAAAGACCTGAGTTCAATTCCTGTAGCTCTTCCTCTGCAATGTTGAGTTTAAGAACAGGCAGAAAAAAAGGCTAGATTGTTCTAGGATTAGGGATGGGACGGGATGAGGACAAAGGGTAAGGGAATTATTTTTATCTTACATATAGTATTGGGCTAATCAAATTGAAGTGGGTGATGAGTACGTGAGACTCAGGAAAGTATTTTCTTTATTTCTGTCAATGTTTGAAATTTTCTATAATAAAGCTTAAAGCAATCAAGGAGTCATCTAAGCTGTCCAATTCTTAGGGACCAACCTTTACAGAAATGACAGCACTAATACATACAGCTCTCAAAAGCAAAAGCAATTAATCTGATACTATTCTAAGTCAAAATTTCTCTCAGAAGATAGATAATGTCTAGGTAACTTCATAAAGGCAATAAAAAACCAATACACATAAAACTCTCATCCCTAATTCCAAAATATTCTTTACAATTACATTCCATGGTCATTTAATCTTTTAGTTAACTAGTAGAAAAAATTTTATAAATTCAGTGAAGTTTTTTAGAACTTTCTAGAACATAAAACTATATAATAAAAGGTGACATGATTACTGGATATTTAAATATAATCACTGCATTTGGCAATTTTTTTAAAATATAGAGAATAAGTTAACATATATCTAGTGATATGTAAGAAACATTTTAGCTTACCATATACAACTGGATACACTGTCCCTCGTATACCTGATGCTGGACAATGCATGTTTTTTCCATTCAAATACACATTTAATTCTACATGGTCATATGTAATACCCTATGAAGAAGAGAAAAAAAAAGGATAAAAATATAATTTTTTTCTTGTTTTTAAAATTTTCAAAAATTTAATAACCACATGATTAGAAGAAGCATTTCATTACAGCTTTAACATATTCGGCAACACATTCCAGAGCAAGAGT